GTCAAAGCTGATTTGGCTTCCCAATGGCCCTTTCTGTCGCCGAACCCCCGTGGCAGACGGTGCGCCCGGCGGTTTGGCTGGACGGGCGAGGACAAGAGGGATCGAGGCAAAAGGCCGGGGGTGACTCACTTTCTGCTGGCGGCACCTCGTTACACGCTCTCTTGACGCCAGGTTGACGCTTCTTTGGGTCGCCGTCGAGGAGGGTGTCGTCGTCATGACCAACCGGGCTGCCAGGACTGCTCATGACCATGCTGTTTCGCTTTCTTCTTGACGCCATTGGGTCCAACGCCAATGCTAATCGGCGTGTTGCCTGGACGGGCACTCACAGGACTGGTAGGACTGACAGGCGTGGCCCCGCCAGCGGCAGCAGCAGCAGACAGGATGGCGGCGCCGTCCATGACCATGGGCGAAGGCGGAAGGAGGGTGGAATAGGCTTGCTCCGAGCCGAGATGTCGGGGTGTGTGGCCAGTGTCCGGTGTCGCGATGGTTAGGTGAGGAGGAGGGCTGTGATGTTGAAGGGGGACGTCCGACCACGGAGGCTGGGGCGTACTTTGGGTCCAAGTTTTGCTTTACTGACCACGGGGAAATTTTGGGGGGAGAAGGGGGGGGTAAATTGAAAGACAAAGGACCAGCACCACCTCTTGTGTGCGGGGGTCACTCTTGCCCAGACTCGCTCGACCTTGAATTTCGTCTTTGCGCGCGCGCGCGGGTGTGCCTTCTGTTCCTTTCATCGAGGGGACGCAAGCGGGCGGGGTTCTCGGGTTTCCCACCGCCCAGGTCCAGGCGGATTCGGTTAGCGTCATTGCTGCCCTAAGAGGCATGGCCAACCCTGCCAAGTTCAGCCACAGTTTTGCTGACATAATGACAACGTCAATGAGAAACAGGCACAGCGGGACACACGTAGGGAAACGGTGCCATCAGAAACGGAGATGGTTTGTGTCGGGGACTTCGTGGCGGTGCGACGCTTCCAACACCGACTCAAGTCCAGCACCTACTAATTTAGGAAGGTAGAAGAAACGGTAGAAACCCATGTTGCAATTCCAGGCCTGTGCGTGCACTTTCAATTACTGCAACGACTTGAACAATGTTCGTTCGTCGAGATAGTTTGCGCAAAGGCGCTTGATTGCAGGGTGCCCTCGAACAACTGATGACCTGAAGTTTGCTGAGGCTGGGAAATCCCTTAGCAGGGGACTCAATAGTGCGCGCGCATATCTCAATATCAAAAGCTACCTACCGACCGACCCTCTCCAGGAATTTTGACCAACCACACACAAAACTTGTTCGCTTAGTCGACCTTAACCTTCACCAACTTGGTGTGCTTCCAAGCGGAACGGCGGGTGCTGGTGATAGCTTTCCACGAGGAATGGTCCAACAAGGTTCAAGCATCACCAGGTGACTGTGGTCGTATCCATTGGGGTAGGGTGTCAGGGGCAACGCACGGAATGGGGCTCGAAACGATGCTTGCACGGTGCGACTCTGGTTCGTTTGCTTTTTACAAGAAAAGACAGAGAAATGAAGTGAAAAAAAAGAGGTAGTATATTAAGCCGCTGCAAGAGATTTTCTGTTCGTTCTAAGCATATAAATCACCGCGTAGTGTAAATAGTCATCTATTCCCGGTCCGTCATTTTCGTAAAAAAGCAAAGCGCGCCTGCCGCTTAGAGCAGCATGTAGAAGCCGGCAGCCACCAGGCCGGCGACCGCAGAGAGGCGCGAAGCCGAGAGAGCGCCGGCACCGGCGGTGACGTGGTCGGTGGGCAGGACGGCAGGCTTGGTGCCGGTGGCGGGGATGGTGGCGGGGATGGTGGTGTTGGGGTGGCCGGTCTGGACACCAGTGCCGCGGAGGAAGTAGCAGCCGTTGACAAGAACGCACTGCTGGCCCTCGGGGTACTTGTGGGCGGGGTTGCAGCTGTAATCGCCGGCAGCGCTGGTCGAGCCAGGCGCAGGGCAGCTGGTGCCGGTGGGCTTGGGGGCCGCGGACGAGCTGCACTGTGGACGGAGGAAGTAGCAGCCGTTGACAAGAACGCACTCCAGACCCTCGGAATACGCGTGGGCGGGGTTGCAGCTGTAGTCGCCAACAGCGCTGGTCGAGCCAGGCGCAGGGCAGCTGGTGCCCGTAGGCTGGGGAGCCGCGGACGAGGCGGCCTTGCTGCGAAGGAAGTAGCATCCGTTGACAAGGACGCACTGCTGACCCTCGGGGTACGCGTGAGCCGGGTTGCAGCTGTAGTCGCCGGCAGCGCTGGTCGAGCCGGGGGCAGGGCAGTTGGTGGCCTGCGCCGAGACGGCGCCGAGGCCGGCCAGGGCAGAGAGGATGGTGAAAGACTTTCATATTGATAGGTAGAGTGAGACGTGGCTAGTGCTAGACGATGGCGTGGTGTGAAACGCTTGATGGCTTGCGAGTTGCACAACAATCAACAAGGGAAGGGGCCCTACTTATAGGGGTAAACAACAAATATGTTTAGTGTTTGGAGAGCCGCATGCGAGGACGGACTCCGCCGAGAAGCTTCAATCGTATGTCTCGGTGCTAGCAAGGGAAATACGAGGTTGACGCCCTAGCTCGAGGGAACCGTGGCAGTAGGGAGATGGCTGGTCTGAACCATTGGACCCGCGGCCGCTGCGTTGAGTGAGTCCCGCAGCCGTGCCTACAGAGGGGATTAGGTTGCGCTATGGAATGTTAGCTCGTCCACCCCAGATTGCAACATACATATCTTCTGTTGAAGGAAGAATGACGCACGGCTCAAGCCCGCCAGTTTATTAATAGTACCGCCACCCAGCTTTCTGCCTCCCTTCCGTTTTGCCATGTGGACAAGACATGTCGCATCGCCAGTGTGAATCAGCGTGGTGCTGGCCATCTGCACGATGCCACTGCTTGTCGGCCAGGTATCGGCCTCCATGGCGCCGTGTTCACGAGGCACTACGACGAGGATCGGCGAAAAGCACAGTCGGACGACCTCGACCTGGCGCACCTGGATACGATGGTCGTTTGGACCCACACTCGGCGCATTTCGGTGGCTGAGGTGGGCCGATCGTAGTGATCGCCAGGACCTCAATTTTAGTGGGCTTCGGCTTCGGCACAGCGGCAGCCAAGACTGGAAGGCTGGGGGAAGATCACACAGACCATTGGCTTTCCCCTGATTCCCAAGGGCATTCTTCAACATCATGTTTTGCCTGTTCCGGACCACCTTTGTCGTGGCCGTCCCCACAACATGAAAACGTCGGGAATGCGTTATAGGTCCGCAAGAAATTTCTGCGCGTTCCTTTCAGAAGGTTGTCGATGAGCCCAGAAAAGAAACAGGCCTTGTAGGGCATTTTGGAAGGATCTGCTTACTATTCGTCGCTCGACCTTTTGCCTCGGCACCAGCCCATGTGTCGTATTCGACAAGGTACTCACTCGATCCATTCACCTCAGCTCATCGCTTTGGTCGAGTCGGCGTGCACTTATCACGTCTTTTGTACAGTGTCTTTGTACAGCGATCATCGTCAATCCACCGAGATGACCCCCACTGCCCTGGTCCTGCTCCCAAGCCTGACCTCATCGCTCACATTGGTATCTCAAAATAGGGCGACAAAGGCTTGGCTTCGGCTCCCCTCGAGACCCCGTTTTCGGATCACGGCATAGGTAGAGATGAACACGAGTGAACGGGCAAATCTCTTTTTGGCGCGGTCAAGAGCATCGACTGCACAAGTACGTCATACATGTATACCACAGTCATAGCTTTCGCTTTCACCAGTCGATTCCGCCAGCCAGTTGCCGATTTAGCGCTCAACAGATTGCTTGTGTTCGCGCGCGCGCACACACAATGCTCCCCAGATCCACCGCACATTGATCTCGCCTTTCGCACCTTCGTTTCCTTCCCACTTCCACCGCAACGTGGCGCTGCAAGAACACGGGTAACACGTTGCCTTGACAGACTCAGCCATTGCCGCATTTTGTGTCTCTTGCGAATGCAGTGCAACATCTGACTGCGGTCATGTCTGGGACATTGTGGTCTGTTTTCGTGGTCAACGGGTTGGGGGCGCGCTACGAACCCGTCAGACGGCCTTGGGAAATGTGAGTCAACTCGGAGACCGACCTCCTCAAACATGGAGGAACGTCCGCCGAGGACGTGCTCGCGCCTGCCAACTTCCTCAGTCCGCATATACCTCTGGTGCGGTATTTGTTCATTCCCCCACGGCCCTTTAACAACATGTACAGAGCGAGAATAGGCTTTCGTCCACGGACAAATCAAGTGATAGTCACAGTGGCTCAAGCTCTGCGACGAATGTATTGGGTCTGGAAGGGTAGCACTGCTGGGTGCAACCTGAGTAGGGGAGATGTTCTTCGATCCGATGACTGGTGTTGTGACATGCGGGGCTCGACCTTTGTCCCTCCGTCCGAAACTTCGATACAGGCACATCAAAAGGAACATAGGTCAAGTGATGGGCGGATGCGCATGCCATTGAATTGAGTTTGAACCCATGCAGTTAGCCAGGGCAGGCACATGACAATATACATTGCGCCCAGGGGCAGGGGTTGCCAAAGACAACTCGCGGGCTTTGCAAGAGGCTCGCCCAACAGGAATTCAAGGCAGGTAGATGGATCTCGTATTGATTTTTCCGTGCCACGAGACACAGCGCCAGTCTCGACGTATTCAAGAGTATACGTCATGCATGAATAGGGTTTGGATCGCTCTTGCAATCCCGTTTCCTGATGCTCAGATCTTGCCGGTGCGAAGATCGATGACTAACTTTGTCGAGGCCAGTCGCCCAGATATAATGGGTGGCACGGCTCCGACTACTGACTCGCGCCGAACTTCTTGAGTTTATCATGATGCCAATATCGCTTTACGGTGAGATTTTGTTGCACATGCGACCTACATATCAGAAGGCATTGCTTATTGTCAGGATAGCTGTATTCGACCAACTCTCTTCCGGCACACGTTCATCAATGGCCTCCTTCAGCTTGACGGTCACTCGTAGAACTGGGGATACAAGTTCGGCACATGACAACCCTCAACGAACCAACATCACGTCATCGACCTTGTGAAGTTCGGCCGATGAAACAGCGGCTTCGTACTGTCTCTTTGAACAGAGCGCCTCACCATTTCAATCCACATCAGTATTTATTCGTCCAATTGAACTATCTCAGGGGAAGCTAGAGACTAGTAAAAGTAGGTGAATTTCAAAAATATGCCGGTTCCAAATCTCCATCATGTGTCTTTCAACCGCTGGATCAATTCAATCTCCTTGAGCCGTAAACAATAAGAAGTGGTTGATGTCTTTAAGCGGTACAGCAAGGTGGTTGGAGATCAGCTACACATAGTCTGGCAACCTACCGAAGAAGTAGTCAGCTCAAAAAGTAACTTCAGATTCGGAAGGACTATCAAGTTGGTCCTCTTATACTCACTCAGCATACAAGCGACGTAGTCGAGATTAGCAAAACCCATGCAGAGCCTCTCCACACAGTCTTCGGCACAATCCGCCTCGCGCTCGGTCATCTTGTCGCCTACAGCGGTCCAACTTAGCACGTTTTCCCTCTCGTAACCAAGTCATCTTTCCCAGGGAGAGACATCCAAAGAGTTTGCCGTGGCGACTTACCAGTGGTAGGGAGTGCAGTCGCGGCAGCCAGGAAAACGGAGGTGACGAAGAGCAGCTTCATGTTGAAATATCAGGTCTGGGAAGAGTGACTTCTGCTGTAGATATTTGACAAGATGTAAAGCAAGGAATGGTGTACACTGTTGGAGTGATGTGTCTGGGAGAGAGCAAAAAGATTTGGAGATCAAAGCAGTTTAAATACTTTTTTTCCTCCTGGCCGGAGTCGATGTTTGCTCCGAAGAAAGCCTTGGCGATGGAAGACGTTATAGTACGAACTCATCACTCAGAGGGAAGTAAAGATGCGGCATTAGCTCACTGTCACACCAGCTGCTCGATCAGCACGGTACGCGGTTCATCCTTCATACTCTGTTCTCGAGATCGACGAATACCTCCACCACTTAGAATTCGTAGTGACAGAATCACAGGACAAACATGGCGATCCTTTCCTCGGTATAGTGCAGTATTTCTGTACGCGCATCAAGTTCAGCGAATCGATTGCGTTCAGACGTCGAATAAATATCGTTCCTGTCTCCTCTTGGACGGCCTTTGGCTATGGAAACCCCGCAGCCAAGGCTTGTGCCCGACTTCTGCGCATGTCAGCATCGCCTGTCATCCTCTTGGCACCTGAGCAGAAACGTTACATAGCAAAGATATGCCCTGAGTAGGAAAGGAGCATCTCGCTGCATGTGCATGTTCACCGGCCTGACGCGTCAACACATGATTCAAGCTCAAGTTGCCAAAAAAGGCAACAATCGCAACAATCGCAACAATCGCCATCGGGTAGGTTTAGCAATATGAGGACTTGATCTCCGAGAGTAAGAGAAATGTTTTTTTTTCAGAGCTCCCTATGAAATATAGTTGCCTGGTTATTTGGAGAGACAGAGACTCGCTGATTTGCCCATGTGATGCGATGCTGAGTATATGAAGATGAAATGTGCGCAAAGGGGATCTCCATGTCCGCGAGCAGAGAGGCCGGGTTCCCCGCTGCTTGGTGTCGTAATGAAATCTTCCTCTCACATCATATATCATGACTCTTACCCACATTACCTACATAGGTATCCAGGAGGGTAGTCAGCTGCTATGGGCCCGGCCGGCGACCGCGAATGGTCATCCGAACACGGGGTCAAAACATCTGCCCAGTCAAACATGGGCTGACAGATTTGTATGCTGGCCACAGACCTTTGGACAGTAAATCGAGGTATCACTTTAAAAAGTATCTACGCTGGAAGCACTACTTTAGCAGTCATGTTTGATAGCCTATGAAGTCGCGATTCAAAAATGGTGCCCCTTCCCGTTTTCGTACTGCCACCAAATCCGTCAGCTGTATGTTTATTACGGTGCATTCAAGGCTTTACGGTGAACATTGATGGGCCTGTGGCGCAGGCACTGTAAGCCACTGTCGGCAGAGCGCGACGTACATCAAAGTTAAAGCAGCGATATCATGAGGGGCTCGGCAAAAAGCATCTGCGGGGTTCTTCACCGTTAGCTCGTGGCTGGAGGGTGCTCTTTCAACGTCCTCATTGGTCAATATTGAGGCACGTGTGTTTTCCCCCAGGAAGTCGAGACCAAAGCCTTCGTTTTTTCTGTCTTGGCGGGGTCCTTCCCGGCATGCACGAGGAGCCCTGTTTGCAGAAGGCGCGCCTATCTGCTCATGTGGCAGGAGTGACGGACTGTAGCCCACCCATTCTTAGTCAGGGCGCAAGTGTCAGACAAAGTGAGCACTCTGAAATCAGTTGGAATATTATGTCAGCAGGTCTTGTGTGCCTTTTCATCATGAGAAAAGACATCAATTGCGCCCTCTGTATGTCCTCATCAATGACGCCTCAAGCTTAGTCGGGTTTTCATCATGGCCACCAAGAAACAACCAGCGAAATTAAAGGCACCTGTGTCATTGACGTTTCCTCCCCCATACCAAGGCCAGGGTTCCTACACCGAACCACCCCGGCCTCAGAGGGATGTACAGTACATTCTTCCCGGTGCAGCCGTTTCCAAAGGTTGTGGATTCGCATATTTGACCGGCTTGCTCCCATGCTGATTCTTCGCACAGTAGAGACCATTTCAGTTGACACGTCGGCGATTCCTCAACCCTTTCTCCAGCCGGCAGTATTGCAGAAGTGGAAGCACGAAAAACGGACAACGACTTAATACAGTTTGGGTACATGCTGCATCTCCAGGTATCTCTCTAACAAAAAAAAACGCCCAAGATGAGCACCAGTGCACCCCACTTGCGACCTGTTCAAGTCATGCCCACCTACCCGTTTTGACCCGTCCCCAGCTTGACATCGAATTCGATGGACCTTCGATTACGCTCATCTTTCATTGCTCGAACATCGACACAAGCGGCCGCCTCAATCATGAGCTACGATGCAATCCAATGCCTCTGGAGTCGCTACGTTTGGACCGTCATGACCACCGTGTTACGTGCGTTGAGGCCAGGCGTTTGTTCAGCTGGTCTGGGCAAGCTCTGACCCCAGGCGCCGACCGCGCCGCCAACCGGCATAACTACGTGATATAATATGCTGAATGGACAACTCACATCAGCTGACATTCACGAGCGGCGCAGACATCGGCACTGCCATTGTTTGCTGGATTGCATCGACCGTGAGTGCCATCAGTGTCACTGACGCCAGAGCGTCTGCCTTGCCTCACTGCCGGTGCGGGGTCGACTTCGATAGTCAAGATCCAACTCCCCGGACTTTCGCGGGGTTAGTGTAACTTGTCTGTCCTACCCAAGGAATTAAGGTACAGGGTCCGGGCGAATGACCTTAAATCGACTTGCAGCTGTTTATTTAGAGCGGAAACAACCACTTCAACGTCTTACATCACAGACACGCATCTGGGTGGACCCATCTGTTCTCGCTCATGCACCAAAAAACCTCTCAATTACAACTTCTCTTGCTCCCCTTCTCTCGTCGGACGCCAGATACCAAAACGTCGGATCCCCAAATCCCTATCCAGTCATTGTCACGACTCAGTTTCACCAACTGCAAACCACCATGTCTGACCCCACCTCCGACTCGTCGGCTGCCCCGCCACAGACTTCTTCGAAGTCTTCCAACACAGTGCCTTTCTTCCTGAATGGCGCCGAACAACTCACTTCCAAGACATTTCCCGTCACCTCTGCAGGTACTAACCAATACCTCTACGAATCGGCCTCTGCTCAGACCTCCGATGCCGAGGCCGCCGTTGCTGCTGCAGCCGCAGCCTTGCCCGCTTGGCGCGCACTCAAGCCCGCGAAGCGCGCTGCCATCCTAGTCAAGACTGCCGAGGTCATGAACTCCCGCCACGATGAGCTCGCCGGCTACTTGACGAGCGAGACTGGCGCCACGCCAGCCTGGGCCGATTTCAACCTCAAGGTCACAACCGATATACTCATCGCCTCCGCAGCTCGGGTGCACTCGGTAGAGGGCATCATCCCAACGCCAGCCGGCGAAGGTAGCTCCGCCCTCATCGTCAAGGAACCCTTTGGCGTCGTCCTCGCCATTGCCCCATGGAACGCACCCTATATTCTCGGTATCCGCGCCATTGCTGGGCCCCTCGTCACCGGCAACACTGTCGTTCTCAAGGGTCCGAGGTGAGCCCTCGCGTCACCTGGGCCATCGCCTCGTGTTTGCACGAGGCTGGTCTGCCGCACGGCGTTCTCAACACCCTGGCGCACGATCCCAGTGACGCCCCGGCCGTCACCGCCGCGCTCATCGCGCACCGCGACGTCAAGAAAATCAACTTCACCGGCTCCACGGGCGTCGGTCGCATCATTGGGCCCCCTCGCCGGGGAAAACCCTCAAGCCCGTGCCTCCTCGAGCTCGGGGGGGAAAGGCCCCCGGCCCATCGTCTGGGGAAAAAGCTGGGCTTCCAGCTCGCCGCGCAGAAAGTGGGCCCCTCGGCGCCTTTTTTCAAAGGGGGGGGAGAAACTCCATGAAGCCCCCGAGCGCATCCGTTGTCCACAAAGGCCGGGGAGCGCCCGCCCTTTTGAGTCCCGCCCCTTCGCGACGCCGAAGGGAAAATCTTTTTTCGCCGGCCGAAGCCCCCCGGGGCTCATTGCTGGGGTTGCCGTCACCAAGAACAAGAAGCTCATCCGTGATGCCATCGCGCCAGGGGGCCCGCGTCGTGGCCGGCGACCCGAATGCCGACGACGCCTCGCCGACGCGCATGCGGCCCGTCGTGCTCGGCGGCGTCACAGCCGAGATGGACATCTACCAGACCGAGTCGTTCGGCCCCACCGTGTCCCTCTACGAGGTCGAGACGGAGGAAGAGGCCTTGCGCATTGCCAACGACACCGAGTACGGCCTGTCGTCAGCTGTCTTCACCGAGGACCTACGCAGAGGTCTGCGCTTCGCGAAGAACATTGAGACGGGCGCTGTGCACATCAACAGCATGACTGTGCACGACGAACCGGCGCTGCCTCATGGCGGTGCCAAGGCTAGCGGGTACGGCAGGTTCAACGCCGGTGCCTTGGAGGAGTGGGTGAGGACCAAGACCATCACGTATCAGGACTGATGGATTGGCTACGATGAAATGATGCACACATAAGCTATCATCATGTATGTATAGAAACATGAGAGAAACACTTGCTCGATTCACTTGAACGACACACAGGCAAAGGAATGGTGATGGTAAAAAAGCAAATTCCGTATTATTCCGTTGTCCCATGATGTCCCATAACGCCCGAGGGGGGCAGGTCACTCGACGAAGGCTTTCCCCCCTCCCCTTCAGCTGATATATGTTGTGCAGCGGGCCACTTTCCCCCTTGCCACAGGAAGCCAATAGTTCTGTTGCAGGCACAAATGTGCCGCGTCTCAAAAACAGGGAAGAACACCCAATCCAATTCCCGTTGATCGTGACCGTCATGACCAATTCATCTCATGCCATCGTGGAGAAGCTCTTTCGTGCCACGGCGTTGTTTGGAAGCATGTAACACCCCGACTCCTTGCTTGCTGAAGACCGGCTGGAAACCCAGAACAGTGAATGCCCTAGGGGCTGAGATACCTACATTTGTCGTTTTGATTGATCAGGCGGGCGACAGCAACGGCAGGTCGCTGTCGAGCACGAGATACATGGTCGCTTAGCGGATGGTCATCTGCTTGGTCATCTCAGCCTTGGTCGATGTGCCGGTGGCACCAACCCCAGAGCTGGAGCCAGCCTTCTTCTCGAACACCTTCCAGAACTTCAGACTCTCGTCGGCAGCTAGAGCATTGTTATCAGCAGGGGCGTTCGGCGATCATGAAGCTAGAGTAAACTTACCAGCAGTGGCAAGCATCTGGCCATCCGGGCTCAGGCAGCTGTGCAGAACGCGGCTCTCGTGGGCTGGAATCTCCACGTTGCGGACCAGGGTGGGGTAGCTCCAAATGCTGAGAGAGTTGTCGGGGAAGCCGCTCGAGCTGACAATCTCGCGGTAGTTGGGGCTCCAGCGCAGGCTGGTGACCTGCGAGCCAGTGTCGATGCTGTTGACGCGGGCGCCCGAGGTAGAGTTCCAGAAGTGGATGTGGCGATCATACGAACCACCTCCCGTGGCCAGAAGGTTCATGTTCCAGGGGCACCAGGCGAGGGCCTTGACGGCGGCCTTGTGGTTGGTCTTTGTGAACTTGGGAACCGACAGCGAGCGGGCGTCCCAGATGGAGACAAGGTTGTCGTTGCCGCCAGTAGCGAGCTGAGCGCCGTCGGAACGCCACTCCAGACCACAGACCTCAGAGGTATGGGAGACGAGCTCGGCAACCTTGTGCTCGGCGATGCGAACATCGTGGTTGTAGACAAGACCGCTACGAGCACCAGTCGAAAGGAGATGCTTGTTCCAGCCCATGACACCGACACGGGTGTCGTGGCCGAACATGCTGCGAACCTTCTGGGCTTCGGCAACGTCCCAGATCTGAACCTCACCAGTTCCAAGACCGACGCCGACGTAGGCGCCGTCACCAGACCACTTGACACTGCTGACGTAGGTGTCAGCACTGGTCTCGAGAAGGCAGCTTACGCTTCCCTCATCTGCGGACCAGACGTAGACGTTGCGCTCCAGACCAATGGCAACCTGGTTCCCGGAGCTCCAGTCGAGCAGGTTGAGGTAGTAATCATCGATCAGACCAGGTGCGTCAAGAACACGCTCAGGAGCGGTGGCCACACGGCGACGGAACTGCGCGCTCGTGGCCGTGGCCGCCCTCAGAGGACGGTTGTACTGCTGGCGAAGGTCGATGGGCTTAGACGACTCGGGAGGCGCGGGCTTGAACTGGAGGATGCGGGTGTTGAGGTTGACACCGCAGGCGTTGGCAAGGGAGTCCTGGTAGGCAACAGTGTTGGGGGAAGGGCGGGCGTAGGTGGTAGGCTCATCATCATCGTTGATGCTGAGACCCTCGAGGGCAGCCAGGGCCTCGTCGGCAGCAGACGAGAGAGTGGCGGAGCCATCACCGTTGCTAGACTTGGGACGCTTCTCGGCATGATCAAGCTTGCCACTGCCGACGTTGGAAATGGCAGAGCTCGCACCGCGGTTGGGGATGAAGCGATCGCCGCCGTAGTTGATCGTGGTCTTGCTGGACTTGATCCTCTGGGACTTCTTGGGCTTGGCACTAGAGGGAGTTTTTCCCGAGCCAGTCAAGGTGAAGTCGGACACGCCGAGCTCAAGAGCCTTGCGAGGGGTAGCGACACCGCGGGCGATATTGGACTTGGGAGAGTCACGGTGAGAGGACTTGGGCTTGGTGGCAGAGCGGGCGAGGTGGGCGGTGAGGTTTCCGCCGTACGTGGACTTGGTGGGCCTGTAGCCGTCCTTGCTCGGCTGACGCTCAGGAGTGTAGGGCGAGGAGTTGAGGTTCAGCGGGATTGAAGTGGTCGAGCACTGGCGAGGCGAAGGAGTCAAAGGCATGCGCCCGCCGGCGGTACGGGTAGTGAAGAGCCCCCGATGGGACTTGAGTGGCGTGGTCACGGCGGCTGAGGCCATTTTTGGTGTCTGAGAGCTCCAAGAGACTCTAACCAAAGGTTCCTGAATGGGTGCGGACACCGTTAGTATGATGATGGTCGATATTCTCGAAGATTCGAGTGATGGCTGTGGCTCTGAGCAAAGAACGGTTTCCAAGTCAAAGGGACGATCAGTTCGAGCGAGGAGAGTGCAGCGAAGAAGATCTAGCAGACTTGATGGTTGTTTCTTTCACAGGCTAAGCGCGAGGAGAGCGGTATGAGAGGCTGTTGGAGGGCTTGCAGGTGGAGAGTGTGCATGGTGAAGAGACAAGTGTTGCAGCATGGTGAGCTCGACCTTGGACGTCTTTTATTTACTTTAGGCCCCACTGTCGACCTGGCCGGGCAACGGCTTCCATCCCTGTCCCCCCGGTCGCGGTTGCTGCAATGTTCCGGCAGCCAACCCCGGGTGCCCAATTTGAGCCAACCAGAAGCTGATAAATTCATCCCTGTTCCTGCAGTGGCGTCCTTCTGGCTCCCTCCTCTAGCAGTGTCTAGCCGCCTCTCTCCTGGCCTGTGCACTAACGATGAGGTCAGTCGCTCCTTCCATTCTGCCTCTTGTGACCGCCTGCCAACGATTGCTCCCTCCCGACTCAGGCCCATGAGCCGCTAGGCCGGAAGAGGAACAGCAGGTAACGACCGCGGCTGCGCTGCCTGAACGACCGTCTCCTTTGTCTGTCAAGATCGTCCCAAATATTTTTCCAAACGTCGGCTTCCTTCAGTCCCTCGTCGACCCTCACGCCGAGACGCTCTTCCGTCTTTTTGACCCTCTGAAATGACCGCTACGATCTGCCGCTAATCGCCGAGGATCCGGATCCGTCAACATCACAACCATGGCGGCGCAGCCTGGCACGCCTGGCGCCAGTACGCCGTCCCTCTTTGGCGGCCCTACACTATCAACCCCCAGCGCCAACACCAACACACTCAGCCGTGCCTCCTCCTCTCTCCTGCCGTCTTCCAGCGACCCCGGCCCTTCCGACAGCTCGCCTGGCTCAGATGGCTCTGCCAACAACACCTACATCATGCCCAACTCGCCCATCAAGAACAGGACCGGCCTCGATGGCTACCGTCCCAAGGTCACAAAAACCCTGGGCCAGCGACCGGCATGTCTCGTCAATGCCTCGGTGACCTACTGCGGAAACAACACCATCTATGCCTTTGGAGGATTTGATCAGTACACCGATGAGGTCTACAATCATGTCCTCAAGCTCGACCTCAACAGCCACCAGTGGAGTCTGATCGACAATTATGGTGACATCCCAGGTGTTCGGATGGGTAAGTCACTCTTTGGACCAGCGGCCTCGGCATGAGACTGACCATTGTCTCACCCAGGACACACCGCCACCATGTACGCTGGCGATAAGCTGCTTGTCTTTGGCGGCGAGAACGAACACCGAACCTACCTGTCCGATCTCATAGTCTTTGATCTCAAGACCGCTCATTGGACAATGCCACAGACGAGCGGACCGAAACCCAAGGGCCGCGCCCGACACGCCGCTGTTCTACACGAAGACAAGCTATTCATTGTCGGAGGTATCACAGGCAACGATAACTACGTGTTAGATGACATCTGCTACCTCGACCTGAAGACTTTCACCTGGTCTAGGTCATGGCGCTTCGTTGGACGCTTCGACCATTCCGTTTACATCTGGAACGACAGGGTGTGGGTGTTCGGTGGTATGGGCGAAGATATGGACAAGACTGGAGACTTGTGGTGGCTAGACCTGAAGGGAAGCCCAGCGTTCGACTCGGCACCCAATGTTGGCATCTACGACCGAAACTCGGGGATCAACCGCGCTGTCGGTTCACCCCGACCCCCTTACAGTTTGACACAAACCCCAGCGGTTGGTACTTCTGGGTATGCCGCCAACTCTCGGACGCAACAAGTCAACCCGCCCTCTTTCCAGATGAAGACGTACGCTCCGCCTGCACCTGGCACCATCTCCTCGCTCAAGTTTGTAGGCGGGCCCAGCATACCACCGCAAGGTTCCGGTATACACTTCCACGTATACTCGTCAGGCACGCTGCTCGATTTTGTTACGCCAGCAGTCACTACCACATCTAAGGAATGTTCCTTGTCAGCTCTGGACCTTCAGACACTCCGATGGCAAAAGCTTGCCGAGGGCAGGGAGATATTCAAAACTGGCTATCGCTGGCACTATTGCACCATGAACGAAGATGGAACGAAGGCGTGGCTCCTCGGCTGTCCGACAGATCCACCCGCCAACGACCTGGGGCCCAATGGATTTGAGGAATACTTGAGCGACATCATGGAGATTGATCTTCGCAAATATGGGTTCCTCGGAAACCACCTCGCATCAGAGCCAGTGACGCAATCTCGGCCGACTCGTGCGATCGACCAGCCATCACGGGGTCTAGGCGCAGATCTCGCATCGCTGTTCGACCAGCCTCCTGAATCGGGTAGCGGCGCGGACTTTGTGATCACGGCCCTGGCTGGAGGTTGGCCCTGGGATGAGGAGAGCGCGCCGCGGAGCGGCGAAGCTACTCCCGACCAAAACTGGCTTGCTCCGGGCACTCATACATCACAACCCATACACGTGCATAAACTCATCCTGCAGGCACGATGGCCTCATTTTGCCCGATTGTACAATTCTCAGATGGCTGAGTTCCACACAAAAAAGATGCACATCCCTGAGCCTTACTCCGTCGTCAGAGCATTTCTCTACTATCTTTACACAGACAGCATCCACGGCACGTCTGTGCAAGGCAGCGAGGCCACGACGGAACTCGCCGACGTCGCTGGCCTTCTCGTCTTGTCCAACATCTATGGCCTCCCGCGTCTGAGGCTCCTCTGTGTGAACCGACTGTTGAAGGAGCTCGATGTCGATCACGCCTGTATCATATGGCACTCGGCCGGACTTGCTAACGAGGAGTGGCTGAGGAAGCGGGCTGCGCAATTCTGTCTCTTACACTGGGGTCGCATTGTCCGGACTGAAGGATTTCTCCGTTTACCCCGGACAGCCCTTGTCGAATTGTCTCAAGAGATCGACATGGAGGGCCGGGTCGTTGGAGGTGAGGAGCTAGAGTACGTTGGCAGCCTAAACGGTTCCCGATACGGTGACAGCGTCGGCAGGAAGCAGAGTTTCAGCAGCCAGACGACGCAGATGTTGGAAGACGATCCCGATGACGAAGAGATGAGCTGAATCGGCTGGCGGTAGGGGTCGAATGGCACCCACGTCAGTACGACATGACTTGCATGCAGGATACATGGTTATGATTTCACGCTTGGTCGACTGATGACTGGCGGCTTTGCTTGGAAAGAACAGGTGACGACGCTTGAGCGTGGGGGTGGGAGACGTGATCGGTTGCAACAATAACACATGGAGGATACGAATCCCAGCGATGGCCAGGGACACGACATCGATCACTTCCGATACTGGAGTCCGTCGTCCCACAACAACCCTGCCACCTCTGCCCTTGCCCAATGACGGCGTTAATGGATCACCCTTTTTCATTTGTTTCGGTTTCTTACATACGATGGTGCATCGCAAGGCGTTTGGTTCACGTCTCCACTGGCGCACCATTGACTATCTCTAGCCTTCCTCCAATACATTTGATTGCATCGCTTGATGATGCTTTCTCTATCTGATATTTCTCGATCCTCGATGCTCATCATCGGCTATCATGCCAATTAGAGAAGGTTCTTCTCCCCTCCAACCCCCTTCTCCCCGCCATCCCTGCCCCAACCCAGTAACGCCGATGATCATCGCATCATGTCCATGGAGGACTCACGTCGATCTCCTGTAAGACCGGCGTGCTGTGGCACCCCCTTGGACACCCCCCCACCGGTCCCCGGCCACCCTCACCCGGCCGCCCGCCGCGAGTCGGGGCCACCAGGTTACTCCAACACGCGACTCAGGACTAGACATAGCGCAAGAAGCAATTCCTCCCCCTCCCCCAAGTTTCTGATTCCGCTCAGCACAAAAGCATGTGTATGTATGTACAGGGTACTTTGCAGGCACGGGCGGAAACAACGTAGCAGTGGCTTGCCTAGCTGCTAAGCACCAGGCTCATAGTCTCGAAACTCTAGACTAGGGTACCTCATCCGCTTTCCGGGCGTGCCAATAGATGGACTGCCAACCACCCGTAGGCACACAAAGGGCGCCTTCTTATTTTTTTGACCCTTCCGTTTCCTCAAGTCCCCGGTTCCCTGCTTCCTCTTTTATCAGCGAACAGTACGTTGGTAGGTTCACCACCATCATCGTATCGCTGTGTTGTGTTCCATCGCCTACTCGCCGAGGAGCACGGCCCTCCCCATCCTGTCCTCCGACTTGCTGGCCCTACGCGCGAGTCAAGGTTGCGTTCACCGGGCCAGAAGACGGTACAGGTTCGTTTGATCACCCTTCCCCTCCCCTGCCAGCCGGCCGGTTTGTCCCACCTTTCTTGAGCTGTTAGTTACCCCGAACGCGAGGATGACCCCGCCTTCACCCCTGCAGGAGGCACAACGGAACACCAAAGATCAAGAACCAATCCTTGAGATGGCCCCAACGACCTTCATACAAATGTACCGTTACGCTCTCGCCAGCGAGTCACGCTAAGTCGCTCATTGTGATTCATGATTCGAGAGCAAGCAGAAGAAACCATCACGGATGAACGGCTTCGAGTACTAGTAATGAAAAACATTTTCTCTATTCTGAGCTTCATACTGCCTGCTCGCTTGGAACTTTTCCGACACCCACGTGTCCCAGCGTCAAAACGCCTGCAATCTAGCAATCGTTTCGCTCAGCTAAGATCAAAATAAAAAAAAACCCCCCAAAAACCAAAACCCCGCCGAATAAACCAATCTTGCGATTTAACGTGCCTGGCAACGGTGAAGAGATATCGTCATCTTCGTTGCTCGCCGAAACTGACACTCTTGCATGTGTTGTAACCACAACTACTCTGAACGCCCGATGCCTCGTCGTCAGGATCACCTCGTCACTTTCGTGCGCAGAAAGCATCATGTGGCTTTTTGAACAGCAACAACGACAGCGCTGGCAACCACCTCCATAGCGCCAGACATAAACGTCAAATAAAACAATTTCGAAACAAAGACATAACAAATCAGCGGTTCGAATAATTGTTCGTCGTCAAGAAACCCATAGCAGTCATGGTCGAACGCTGATCCTTGTTCGTAGACGACGTCGTCTCCATTGGCTGTATTATAGTGTATTGAGGCGTTTACAGCCCTCATTGGTATGTCCCAAATCATCGAATGGCGCCGGCCGATCTATCGGGTATAAAGCAGGCAAAGGGGAATGAAACAGCTGCGGGTGAACCGAGAGGACCCGCAGTGTAATGGGGAAAACAATAACCACGAACGCCGCGCAATGCAGAGGCTGGCCTTCCGCTCCGAGAGGTGGTAAATCGAATCGATCCGAACGTGTAAGTGCTGTCTTGAATTCGGACGTCAAACGATCGGCGGCTGGTACTTCGTCGTGAAACTGAAAGACATTTCCAGCTTCAGTAGTACGTGCCTATGCAGGTGCGTTACATCATCTGCTGATCCTCTCCTATACCGGGAAGATTGCCAAGCTGGTTCTCCATCAGCCCAGGCAGCCCACCTGGCATGTTCAGCCCAGCCGCCAGGAGCTTGAAGTCGGGATTGCATGGCGCAGAATGTCCCTTGTGCTGTGTTTTTGGATTAGCGAGGCCTTTGTGGACGGGAATGATCATGCCAACATACATATTTAAGACCATTGAGGTTCTTGTACCGCTTTCCGCAGACGTCGCAGGAAAATGGCTTCTCCTTCTCCATACCAAGTGTGCCAGGGTAGGGCGCATCCGTCTCAGGGTTGACAATGGAAAATGTTCCGTCCTCGTTGGCGTGGAGCTGCTGTGTTTGATGACCGTGCTGCTTGTGATATCTGTAGTGAGGAAAAGTCAGTCAAAGTGTGGGCGCTAGATTGGTCGATATGAACTTACTTCAGTCCGTTTTGGTTTTTATAAGCCTTCTCACAACCGATGACTGGACACTTGAAAGGTTTCTGTTCCTCATTGTGCAACATGGCGCTGAACTTCTGGATCAGGGCCGTGTTGGCAGCGCTGTTGGGCTGACTAGGGTCAAAGCCCAGTGTGACGAGCTGTGCTTGAAGAGCTCTCTGTTGAGTCGTGAGAGCGCCACCTGGACTGAAGAGGTGCTTGCCAGGGTCGTTGATGCAAAACTCCGAGTTGGTAATATTGTTGTTGTTGGCGTTGCCGAAGCCCATGTCGCCGCCAAAGTTGGCGCCGTTGAGGTCCATATTGCCCCCCATAGGCATGCCAGGAAGTTCCTCGTCAACCATGCTGTCCATCTGATTGTTCTGGAAACCAGTGTTTCCGCGCTGCTGCTGGGGGCTTTGGAGAGTAGTGAGGGTAGGGGTATTCACAGAGGACACGGTAGGGTTGTGCTGGAAGCCAAAGCTAGCAGCCGCAGGGGTTGTGGGCTGTGAAGTGCGAAGGCCCTGTGTGATGCCCGAAGAATTCACATGGAGCTGAGGCCGCTGCTGCTGGCCGAAGAGCTGCCGCGTCTGGTGCATCGTCCTCTGGCTGTCGTCATCCATCTCCATGTGTCCGACTGCATCATCCATCTCCATGTCCTCGACTGCATCCAGTTCATCCATGTGGTTTGACATGGGATGCTGCTGACCCGGCTGCTGTCCCATCTGCACGCCCATGCTGGCCATACCGGCCGATGAGATGCTGGGACTCGGTCGGGACTGCTGAAGCTTGGAGACATTCTGTTGGCCCAGAGCTGAAACGGAGCCAATAGAGGGCCGTGCCGATGAAGCCCTGGACCCCGCTGGCGGCGATAGCGGCGCGAACTGTGTGGCGAAAGGTCCGTTTCTCGTGGTATTTGGGCTCGGTTGCGTGTGGGCTTCCTCGTAGTGTTGCAAAAGTTCGTGCAGGTTAGACAGGTTGAGTCCGCAGCACGTAAAGTCCTTCATAAAGTTGGCCTCGAATTTTGGAAGGTAAGAGGAGGAATGCAGTGACGGAGATTGTTGATGGGTGAAGGGCGAGGTGCCGGCCATGAGCATACTGCGCGCAGAGTCGTTAGTCAGGCGTTCACGAAACAAGGCGGCGCAAAAGGCGCAACACGGGGGAGGAAGGCGGGGTTCAGCGGGACATACTCATCGCGAATGAAGCTGCCCAGGGACATGCCGCCCCAACTGGCACCAGCCATGAGGCTGCCAGCGAGACTCTCGCGCCTCTGGCGACTGGCATTGTCGCGGCTGGCATTGTTCATGGAAATGGGTTTCGGTCCGGCGCTCACAAAGGAGTCCTGGCGACTGCGCCCCATGGCGGAATCCATCGAGGGTCCAGTGGTCATGTCAGTATCCTGACTAAAGGAAATGGGAGCGAACACGAGCTGGTCTTCAGGAATGCCGAAAGGATTCCTGTCGAAGCTCGACTTGGGTGGGAGAGCGGTGGGAGAATTGTTGGCCGAGGATCGCGTTGGGGTGGCGATGGTAATTGGCTTGGAAGGGGTAAGGCCTGCGGTGTCGCGGGCGTAAGAATCGGTGGGCGTGGCGGGTTGGGGCGAGTTCGGCGTGAGTGAGGCTGAGTGGGAGTATTCTGGAGAGGGTGATGTGAAGACGTTGTCCGACAAGGGCGATGAGGAGTCGGCGGTGCCAGGAGAGTGGGAGCGTCTGGATGCGGAGGGGTGCTGTGCCTTGGTTGCGTGTGACGAGAGTGCGTGCGTGTGGGCGTGAAAGTGATGAGAGTGAGCGGAGGCAGAGGCGGAGGCGGCGGCAGCGGCGGACCGGCTGGACGGGTCTCTTTCTTTAGGGTCCTCGGTACTCGAAGGGGAGGAGGGTGATGGGGCGAACCAGCGAAGAGCGCTCTTCATGTCAGCTGTGGGCTGCAGTGCGCAGGCAGGGCAGGCACAGGTGCAGGGCCAGGGCGATTGATGAGTTAGGACAAGCGGGCGGTGTTAGCGCGAGAAGAGGGTCGCCGGTCTTGGGCAGTACTTTGCGCCAGAAGGTAATAAGGTAATAACAGGGGAAAGGCGGTGGAGTAGCAGGCAAGGGGGGGGGGGCTGCAGGTGCGGTGCAGGGGACTTGGGGGAGGGAGTTTCGCTTCTCGACGTTTGCGGGTCGTGACGAGTCGAACCGGCTGAGATCGCAGGCAGTCCACCTGGAAAAGTGTGGTATGTTAAGTAGTAGAGGATCCCGAATAAGCCAAACGCCGGACTTGGACAGGTCGATAAGTAGGAGGAGGAGGGAGCCCTTCGGAGTGTTCGCAGTTGCGCGGTTCGCTCGCAATGATGGGCGCGCCGGCGGATTGGCTAGCGGCTGCTGCTACTGAAGTGGCCGAGGCCGAGGCAGTCAGGTAGTTTGTCAGACACCGGAACACGGGAGGTGGGCGGTCAAGTGGGCGATGGCAAACAGAGGACGCCTAACGCCGTCGAGTAAAGACTATTGTCGCCGATGAATGATGACGAACGATAGATGCTGTGAAGCTCGATGGTATGGTGAATGGACAAGGCTTCGCCCCTCTGACTGTGGTTTAGGAACCAAAAAGTACACTCGTGAATAATAAAGTCGAACGTCAAGGTTGTCACCTTGATGAAAAAGGTATCTAGAGCTGGAGCAGGCTGAAATGGTGGGTGCCTGAGTGCCTGCCAAGGTAGATACGGTAAAATAATGAGAATGTGAATGGGTGCTGCTTGATCAGGACAGAAGGGGGGGGGGGCACTGTGAGGATGAAGTAGTTGATATTCTAAATGAGACTCAGGATCAAGAGGGAGTGGCAGCAGAAGAAGAAGAAGAGGAATCGAGTCAAGACGAGTCGAGTCGAAGTGCGAGGCCGGGCTGAGGTATACTCCAAGATCGCCTTGTAAAAGGTGTCCGGGTGTGATGGGATGGATGGTCGCTGGAAGTGACAGTGACCAGGGAGTGACCGTCTTGGCTGTTGTTTGGGAGCAATCGACCGTCGTGGTAATACTTGGCCGTTGAGTGGCCATGCCACTGTCTTAAAGGTACCTTTGGGAGTCATGTCACGGACGGCAAGCGCCCCCCACACCCACTTTGCCTGGTCCGCCACATGTACCTGCCGGGTTCCATGCTTTCCCAGTCTTGGGTCATGAGCCGTGAACCATAAGCCGTCACCGTCTATCTGTTGCTCTTTCCCTCACCACTTCCACGAGGCAACGGCAGCAGGAGCTACGGAACCTTGCGTTCACTCTCAAAGCAGGAAGGAGGTTGGGGTATGCTCTCCTTCCCAGTTCCCTGTTCGCACCACCGTCGTGGACGTCGCCGATCTGCTCACCTGGTGGCAGGTGCTTCCCTGTTGTTGACGATGCGCACGGAATGAGACCCTTCTTTTTTTTCTTCCTTCCTTCCTTCCGCCGTAGGTACTCATGGCACTGTACTATTGTATTGTGTATGCGTGTGTGGATGTCTTCTGCTCGGGCTGTCGCTGCTTGCTTCTCACCGCACCCCAAGCACCTTAAATGCTTTCCTTCCTCTTCCTGTCTTACCCCCTTCAGGGGTAGTGACGCACTCACGCCAGTGGTGCTTTCATCCGTGCTTTGCTTCACCAATGCATTGAGGCAGTTGGTCGCATCAGACATCAGCTATCGCCACGAGACTTTGCTTCTTCCTCCCAACACCCAGCCGCCTTGCTACTTTGCGCCTCCGCTGCCTGGCCGCCCTGCACCCCTCTGGTCCGGAGGCACAGGAGGGTTTACACAGGCAGCGCCCATTCGAGTGCCTATGACTCTCCTGACGGAACCTTGTCGACCAACCGCAAACCGCAAACGAGACGAGCTGCGCGAGCCTGTGGCGAGTGCCGGGGCTCTTCTTCGTCGAGACGGCGTCTCGATTACACCTCCATCACCACACCTAGTGAGGCTAACCGCCAGGCTAGTCCACTCATATCGGCCGGCCTGTGATCAGTAAATGTTGCTGGGAAACCTGAAGACCAAAACGCTCTTGACACTCCTGCTTGCCTGCGATCAGTCCCGTTTCCGGCACCACGCTGGCTGGGCTGGCGGCTGTCGTGGAGCCAGCTCTGTGACTGCTACAATCCACAAAATGCCTTATCTCTGTACAGCGACACAAGTTTGCCGACGCGCCAGGTCGGGGTGCCTCTGCCAGCTCCAAGGCGGAATGGCCATATTCACGATGCCTATGATGAGGCAAAGCTCAGAACCACAAGTCGTGCTCGCCTCTAACTGCTCGTTAAGAATCCATGAACAATCCAGCCGATTCCTGATGCGTTACATCGAACTCCAGAGCACAATGTCGGACACTGTGGTCGTTTTTGCTCAAGACTTGGCTGTGACCGTCGGGTTCTGTCCCGACGCGTTTGACCTCGTTGTCGTCTGCCCACCTCAGAAATGCGTGGTCTTGAGGTAAGCGGCCCGGAATTGGCTGGTTCGTTTCTCCTGCCCCCCCCCCCGTGTTAGGCTTGATACATTCAGATCTACCGTTTTTCATGGAGAGGGAAATGCCCCAGTCCTGAGAAAAATGTCTTGGCATGCACCAAATACTCTTGCAATCTTTGTCAATGCGTAACATAACCGTTTAGGAGGCCCATGATACCTGCCGTAAGTAGCAACCGGAATGGATCACTCTGCTCCTGATTCCATCAACGGCAACTCTTTGCCAGATCATCTCTCTGGCCATGAATAGATTCTGAACAAGGCATAATAGCTCCCTCATGCAAGACACGTTCCGTCTAGGATATAATCTTGCACCCGAAGCACGACGATGCGATTGAAATGCTCTGAGCTTTGGCATTTGACACTTGACTCTCTTAGGTCCACCACACTGCAAAGCATCTTCATGCTCCATGAACGCGCATGGGTTAGCGTCGTCATGGGCCTCACAACGAATGCTGTTGAGCAGGGGCAGGAAGAGGGGGGCAGATTCGGCCGACCACTGGTGCAAGCTGATGAGAGAGGCTGCCGCTGTACCGCACTTGACTCATGCGGGACTGTTAGCGTCTTGAGTGCCACACCACCCGTCCATTACAGCCATGTTTGCGGCGACAGATGCTGCAGCTCGTCTTCGCTGCCAGCAACACCGAGCTTATCCAGGAATTCATGAGTTGGTGGTGACGTCTCGAACCGTTGCCTGTAGGCAGCTGTGAGTCATGGTAACGCAACCCGAGCCCTGGCGTAGCATGGTGGGCTGCCACGACGACCATCGTCGCACATGCAACACCGCCCAAGCCGGAGAATGGGTAGGACGGTCAGGCAACCGAGTAGACAGACGTCCTTTTGTCGATATGTGTCTGGCAGAAAATCGTAGCGCGGCAGAAACATACGCTACCAACAGAGGGGGAGTGGTTTGACAGTGGGTGCGGAGACAGTCTGGAGGAGTGCTGCACGTTGCGTGTCCACCGAGGCGTCTGCGCTGCAACGAATGGCAACACTCAGAATGCTGGGAAACTTCTCGGCGTGGGGTCATGGCTGGAGTATCCATGCTCAAGTTCTTGAGCAGAACCCCCCCCCCCCCCCCGAATCCTCATGTTCGCGCCCGAACGAGGCCAGGCCGTATTTCCTCCGGCTTCTTTGCTTCTGCCTGGGCGTTCTCGTGAACTGAATATGCGAGGGGCACATGTAAGTCCCTTTGCGAAAGGCGGTGAGGATGGCGGATAGGCTGGTCCAGGCTATCCGCTGTGAGATGCAATGCAGTACCCGCATCGCATGCACACAGTGACAGAACGGATCAAGGGTCCCGAAGCCATGCGCAACAAAAACATGTCTACATCTCTACCGCCCAAACCGCCACACACCCACTCGATCTCTCACTGATGGAGATTCGACCACAATAGGCTGACGGGCTATGCAGCTTCAGAAGTTGGCCTAGGCCATTTCCAGTGGGAGGGTGCGATGGCAGCAAGGCATACATATGCCTCGGACTCAATGTCTGGACAACGGTTGCCTGCCAAGACAGTGTCCATTAAGCTACGGGGCGGTGGCTTGACAAAGTCCAGTAGAGAGAGTTGCGGATCCCAACCGCTGGGCTGTTGACTCGCGAGCTATACTTGCAGACGACATGACATCGTACATGCATGGTAATATCGGGTCCCAACCTTGACCTGTATGCACCGAGTCTGCTCCATTCATGATCTCATCAGAGGCCATCCCCTCTCCATCGGCTTCGTTTGCTGCACAAAATCGGCAGTAAAGGCGCTGGGATCAACAGGCAAATGGGTGGGCAGACATTACGACAATCAGTCGTGAGAACCACGTCGGCGATAGGCAAGAGGCACCAATTAACTTGGGGGGACATCCTCTGGGGGCCCAGGAGTGTGATCAGCGGCCGGCATATTGCAATACATCACGGTGGAGACCTTGTCGGCGCCGTCACCAAGCGACCAATCCTTTCAGATCGATCTGGCGATGGCTTCCTGATCTCAACCGACTGGAAGCAAGGACGTTGACATCACTCAATCCACTCTTTTGTGGGCGGCTCAGGTGGATTCAGAAGCCCCCATCGCGGATGATCTTTGCGCCCCTTGGCAGGCACATGTGAGACGTTCGTGTCGCCTGGGGCATGTTCACGGCCGGACGATGTCCTGAGCGCTTTCCAGGTGGCTTGCCAGTTCGACCATGGATTGCCCGAGATCGATACGGTAGCCATTGGCAGCACCTGGAAATTGCTGGCAAGGAACTTGGGCCTTGGTCGAACGAGTGCTTTCCTTAGCGGGGCTCGCCAGTGGTGATGCAAGATTGGTCCGGATGGCTGGGGGCTGCCAATTCGGCATAGCCTCCCGAGCCCCGGCTGGCCGGGACCTTGCACACCAGCTGGTTTCTGGATTCAGATCTCGGAGGGGGCGGTGGGACCCCAGGGAAACAGCCCAAAATGAGAGCACGGCAGGCAGACAAGCCTCCCGTCGGTCGGCGAGCCTGTGACAGAACATTTGGTCACGCCGCCCACCTGAGCGTTTGTACGTAAGGCGACACGGTCGTTCCTGGATCCTCGCGAGGGTGGCGCCGCCGATGACGCCGAGGCCGAGCCCGGCCTGACTCGGCTGACGATGCTTGGTGAAAGCGGCACTGGGAACACCCCAGTTATGGAAATGTGCTCCCGCAGCGCGTGGCATCGTCTCCATCGTCTTCTGGGTCTCGAGGCCTTGTTAGCTTCGGCATTCAATGTCGCCTCAGATGTCAGGCTCGAGCACCGACCATGGATGGAGTCACCTTGGCTGGGGCGGCTCTGCCTAGAAGGGAAGCCCAGCGGCGAACTTCTGGGCAGAAAAAGGACTGCCACATGGACGACGCGACGCTACGGCAAGCACGGAGAATGCCGCCTAAGCGGCAGACAAACGAACGGGAACGACAAGGCCACATCAAGCTGCAGGTGGGTGCAATTTGCGTTGCAGACGTGAGCGGACCTGAGGGACCCCTAGGCACACGGCGAGAGAGGGGCCACCACCAACACAAAAAAAAAAGAAGAAAAAAGAAATTCCGTCGCCAGGCAGCGCAAAGCCGGCGGAGCATGAGCCCCAACTGGTTTCGACTATCGGATGGGGGCTCAAAGTGGCAAGTGCCGTAGCGAAGTGAGTCGAACCTCGTCTCGCGTCAAATGGGCGGAGCTGTCGAGCCTCGGTGGTGGTCCTTGTGGCTGTCGTTTTGGGCATGTCAGATGCTGTGGCCGGGCCCTCGGCAATCTAGGAACACCTTTGACGATAGAGAGAACCATGGCAGTGGTTCGGGTGACGGTCTGGCCCTGCCCTGTGACGGGCTGGCTGGCGAGACCAACAGCGGCTGGCTGGCGGGTTGGCGGACTAGGGGAGTTACGCTGGGTGCCGAATGGGGCTTGGTCTCCGGACCAGCAGCGCTGCAGGACCCTGGAATCAGCACAGCAGTGTCAAATGTCAACGAGTGGCGGACACGAGCCGAGCGAGTGCTTTGTTGAGCTCGGCCGCTACGACTGCGCTACAAATATGCGCCGCGCACAGGGATTGTGGAAGGGTTCCAGAAGAGGAAGGATGATCGCTGGGGCTGCTCAGACAGGACAACATGCGTGTCAACAACAACAATGCCCCCTCTTCGGTTCTTTGTGGCTCTGCTCTGCTCGGACCGGCCCCGTCTCTTGGACTCGTTCGCGAAAGGCCAAAGGAAAAAAAGGGGTCCTGTTGTGGTTCTCGTGCTGGACCGTGAGGCACAAAGTGGGCGGGCGGTCAAGGGCGAGGCGGACGAGGCGCATGAAAGACCCTGAATTTCGGAAATGCAACCAAGCGGGACGGATCTTCATGAGGCTCACCGCCCGGAGCGCAGGATCGTCGTCAGGACAGCCGAGCAGTTCCCCCTTGGAGGTAAGATCACCCACGCCGCCCGGTTAAAATCGAGCATATTGTATTGAGCTGATCATGTTCACCACGGAGGGGGGCGCCTAACGTTGAGGACAAGTGTCGCTCGTTCCAGCAATATGAACTCGGTACTGAGGAAGATGGGGCCCTGCCATTCGGACAAGCTACGCGCGATCTCATGGATTAGGGCACTATATTGTTGGGCATAATATGCGCGTACGTGCGTTGGGGTGGGGGGGGCGCCGCCTGGGAGCATCCACGAAACAAGGTGCTTGGGGTAATGGATTCCACCCCGTCGCCCTCGCTGGAGGGGTCACAGGACAGACTTGGCATGTGAGGGGACGACTCGAGGTAAGAGTGAAAAAGAGACGAGATGAGAAGATCATCTCGTGTTTCCGACCCAAGCCAGTCCCCGGACGGAGGGCAAGCTGAGACCTGGGCGACGCAAGCGTCGAGACCCTGAACCTCATACCCGGGGCTCAGAGACATCTGGCCGCCCAAGCCACCCAATCTGGTGTGCGGGTGCTCCGTGTACTTCCATACCGGCAATAGCAAACATGTCGGCTGTGGTCCTGTCGAAGAGGTCATCCAGTTCAAATTCAATCACGGTGTTGTCAACGATGAGCTGAAGTCGAGCCGCCACCCGCACGTACTTGCTATGACACTATTCGGCACATGCAGGTACGAAGACGCCATGAAATTGTCCTCTGCCCAGGCTGGAGAAGCGCCGGATGGGGTCGAGGAAACAGTGTCGGAGATTTTAGGAGAACTGTCAGCAATGCCTGAGTCAGATACCTAGCAACTGGTTTTCCTTGGGTCTCGGTCGCACTTTTCGCGTTGGGGATGCACACGATCTGAAAAGAATCGTGCCATGGCAGAACATGGTTAGCGAGGGCGGAGATGCATCGATCGTGGCAGGGCTGATGGCTGAGGGTGTGGCTGTCACTTGTGTCGAGTCGAGGCCGGTCTTTTAATCGGGGATGGAGGGATGGAGGGATGGGCACGTGAGCAGGTAGGCCCTGTAGGTGTGGTGCGGCGTACACGGTTGGGTGAGCTTGGCGGGCTTGGAGTGAGCTGAGGCTGGGGGCTCACACACAGTGGTTGGCGGTGGTCGTGTCGGGATCTGAACGGGTGGGCTTCGCTGTTCGGCGTATCGCCAGCAAACGGCGAAATGCGGGTTGCAAGCGGCGAGCATCAGACGACCTTGGGCGCCTTCTTCGACGGTTTCGGGGTCGCCCGGACTCGTTGCTGCTGATTCAGCCAAATGGGCGACGCGTAGCCAATGGCAGGGGAGGTCGGATGTTTCTCGGGGTCCAAGACGTGAGTTTTGTCGTTACGTCAGTCTCCCGTCGCGCCTGCCCTGATGATGATCGATGACACCACTTTCCGCTGCCGCCTGCCGAGACTGAGCTGTTGCTGAAGCTTCAATCGCCGTACGTGATTTTCGTCCTTTGCTCGCTGAGTTCACACGGTTTCTCCCATCCCTTTCCCCTGTTGCCGTGCGCACAATTCCTGCAGCTTGAATAAAAAGGTCTTGGATCTTTTTGACTTCCTTATCTGCACCTAGCACGATCGCATCACATCATCCATTGACGAAGATTCACACTCTTGATCTCATCTCGTACCACTTTGGGATCCATCCCCATACAACGAAAACATACTCTAACCCTTCGACATTTTGCCCACCCGTTGAGCCGTCTGCTCTCCAGACACACAGCACCACCACCACCACCACCACCACAAACACCCAAACACAATGAAGGTCCTCAGCCAGGAAGAAGAGAGGGCGCACTACAACGTCGTCCTCAAGGGCGGCGCCATTGGCGGCACCCTCGGCCTTGTCGGCGGCCTCGCAGGCACCATGTTCGCCTCGCGACGCTACCCAGCCTTCCGCGCCCTGACGCTCCCCTTTCGCACCTTCCTCGTCACGTCGACGGCGACCTTTGGCGCCATCGTCAACGCCGACCGCGAGTCGATCAAGTTCGCCCACTCCAAGGACCCCATGTACGGCTACCAGGACGCCTCGCAGCGTCGCGCGCGAGCTCGCGCACCAGAACGAGAGCGCCCAGGGACGCCTTTATGCGCTGGGGCCGCACGAACCGCTACGGCATCGTCTTCGGCT